CTTTTGTATCGGTGGCGTTAATATAAGCAATCTTGTATCGGCTAATGTCGATGGTATTGAGCGCTTCCTTATCTTCTTGGTAAGCATCGTGTGTAAAGCATACGCACGAAAAACAGAGAAATATCAAGCTCTTATAAACGAAATATGAGGAGTACATCCAGAGTGCCATCAATATATGTCGGTGTTTATTATAGCATTCTATTATTTATTCCGGTGTTTATTATAGGATTCTATTGTTTATGTCGATGTTTATTATGGCATTCCATTGTTTATGCCAAATTTTTGCCACACCGCATATAACGATGGATGGTTACCATGGCACCACTTCAAAACAAACAACATATTTAGTACGAAACCTATCAAAAATACACCCAATATCCTTATTGCACAAGGCGAACTTCGATTTAATGCACCAAAATCGAATAAGCCCTCAGAGTACAATGGTGCACTGAAGGGGTGTAGTGGTGCCAACATTTCAAACTTTAAACTGATCGGTGTTTGGCGGGCAATCAATTTTACCCCATCGATCAAGTTTAAGCCCAAATAACGAAAGGTGCTTCCGGCTTAACTTGCAAATCATTTTACTGGTTTCATTGTAAATTTCGATACTCGTATCAAGGGGTTTGCATACATACATGCGAATGATTTTCTCATGTATTACTGTCCGTAAATGAGTATAGAAGCTGGATTTCATCCGCGTACGTTTTATACGTGCCATTGTCTTCATCCTTGAGTGGCGTCTCCAGAATCAACGGGATCTTGTCAAACCGAGGATCCCTCATAATAAACTTGAAGCATTCAATCCCAATGTGTCCCATTCCAATATTCTCGTGGCGGTCCTTTTTGCAGCCAAGTGGGCCTTTGGAGTCATTAAGATGGAGCGCTGAAAGGAAAGGGTTAATTCCAATCAGCCTATCAAATTTCTCCAAAACGATTTCCCAACCCTCAGGCGTCCTAATGTCATATCCAGCCGAGAAGGCATGGCATGTATCCAGGCAAACACCGATCCGATCTTTCTGGACAACCCTTTCAATGATAGCAGCTAACTCTTCAAATGCAGATCCAATTACATTCCCCTGGCCTGCCATGTTTTCAAGCAAGATCTTTACAAAGGAGGTTTCTTTATGTGCCATGTTGATCGACTCGGCAATAAATTCAATCGACTCGCTTTTTGAGCATTCTCCGCAAGTCGAGCCTGGATGAAAATTGTACAATTTAATGTTAAGCGCTTCACATCGCTTCAGTTCATCAAGAAAGCCCAAATAGCTTGCCTTGCGTTTTTTTGGGTCTGGATTTCCCAGATTAATCAAATAGGATCCGTGTGGCAAAATTTGAGGCTTGTCCTCATCCGGAATCATAAAGGAGGTTTCATTAAGAACTTTTCCAAATTCCGAAATGGCTTCTGGGGCAAGTGCAGGAGATGTCCATCTTCTCTGAGACCGTACAAACAAAGCAACTGCATTGGCTTCGATACAGCAGCTAGAAGTGATGGACTTGTGAATCCCACCAGAGATCCCAAGATGGGCTCCAACCCATTTATTTGTCGCTCTTGCGGCTTTTCTGGTCATGGTTTTATCGAATTTCGGCATTATAAATTTATTGGCTGCGGGATCCTGCTTGAAAAAGCTACCAATATCTTTGTTCTTCTTTGACGATGGCGACAACAAAGACGAGGATGAGGAACCCTTCCGCTTCATAAATTAAAATAGCCAAAAATTTAATACCATTTTTGCAATTTAATTCCTTTTCAAGAAATCGATTCAAAATCGTAGCTTTACAATGTAAAGGAACTTTTTTAGCGGAGTACTTCCTTCGCATCTGCAAGCGATTTTGTGCTATTATTTTTTAACTCTTGACCAATAGTTGCCGAAAAAGGACCCCAAATATAAGAGTTCATTGGCTTGGCACCATTTAGGGAAAATTTGCGACTTGTCCCCAATTTCGAGGTCATATTAATGTAAAATTTATTCTGGGAGGCTAATAGCAGATTTTGCTAAATAATGCTTGATAATGGCATCGGAAAAAGCTTCTATCGTGTAGAGAGACTTTGCTCGGTTGTATCCATTTTCGATGATTTTCTTGAGATCCTGTGGTGATTCCTCGCGAGCTAGATTGTTGCCATACAATTTAGCCAATAAATTGACAAGATCGGCAGGCGGTGAGAAAGAAGCGCCATTCGTCGGTTCTGGTACCAAATACCCGGACTTCATGTGCTCAATAATTTCCAATGGACCTCCAGATGCCATTGCTATCGGGAAACAGTGGGAAAGCATTCCCTCAACAATTCCCATTCCAAAATGCTCATAAGAAGCGGTGTAAAATAAGGCTTTAGAATGGGCAAGAAAGAAACGTTTCTGCTCATCCGTTCCATTCACAACAAATAGGACGTCCACAGCACCCGTGGGCTGATCTTTGGAACACAAAATTATCTTATTAGCATGAGCAACCGTAAATGAAAGCGAATATGCTTTGCATATAGCAACCAGGGTACTTAAATATTCCAATTTTTCAATGTCCATACCACAGCCTCCGCCCATGATGACAGTGGTAAGTTTTGTTTTCTTTTGTTTTAGCGCATTTGTCAGCGCGATAATTCTCTCCAGGTATTTTGACGGAAGGAATCTATTAAGCGAAAGCATCGAGTTAGTATTCTCTATGATGGCACAGACCGGATTTTCCTTGAAAAACGAATTTGAAATTTCAAAATTGGGAGTGAACTCTGGAATTCCTGGATATAAAACTTCGACGTGGTGGCATTGTGGGAAATGTGTGATGATTGCGGTTTTGGTAAACCCGGAATTTGCGTAAACAATATCGGAACATTGCATTGCTTTTTTCTCCAAAAAGCTAAAGAATCTTCTTCCGGCACTTAATATGAATCCTCTTTTTAAGAGGAAAACATGCGCAAAGTCGGGATAATGGCAATAATATGCGAGTATTGGCCTATTTTCATTTTTCACACACAGTAGGCTCATTAAAAAATACAATATGAGAATTCCGGTCGGTAGTTGATCGCAGATTATCATGTCATGAGAAAGAAGCCGACTCAATGCGCATACAATCAGAATCATCGATTTTAAATAGTTAAAAGGATGGACGCAATAACCGAAGATCGAGTTTGGCATGTGGGTGTTGATTGAAGTAATATTTACCATGCCCTCATCAGAAAAAGACTCTTGTTTCAAGTGATAATCTGTAGTAAAAATGTTGACAGTATTCCCTTTCGATTGCAAAGAAAGACATGCCTCAATAATTAAACGATCCGCGCCAGCAATTCCTGTAAACATCGGGTGAATCATAGCAATCCGCAAAGGCTTCGTTGTGATTTTTGACACTTTATGTGACATAATTCCGGATTAAAACTAACAAAAATGTTGAATTCTTAAATAGGTTTGGGKTGATATGCGTTTCAAATCGCGATTACTATCAGTTGCTTTAAATGTTAAAATTAACTACGCTACTTAATTTGGATAATCAACAAAATTCAAAGTCACGTTTAGCCAAGTTTGCACGGTGAAAATGAAGATCGATACAATGTAATCGGGAAAATTCGGCAAACAATACCATTCCAAATGCGAGCGGATATTTTAAGGGTTTACTTTGTGGGTATCATTTCACCATCATTTGGAATTACATGCATCACGGATGATCGTGGTCGTAAAATTGTCCATTGTAAAGTATTCGGATATCTTGGCATATCCATTCTGAATGATGCGCTGGATGTCATGTGGCGAATTATTTTTCTCGGGTCCTGAGGCAAATAATCGGGCCAAGATTTCCAAAAGACTAATTGGAGGTGAAAAATCGTCATGGGCGCCAGACTCTGGAATAAGATATCCCGATTTCATATGCTCAATAATCTCCAAAGGCCCGCCTGAGCCCATAGAAATTGCAAGACAATGAGATAACATTGCCTCGCAAACACCAATCCCAAAATGTTCGTTAGAGGAAGAGTAAAATATTGCCTTTGAATGCTTCAAGAGAAGTGACTTTTGATCGTTTGTTGCATTCAATAGGAACAAGATGCCTGTTTGCGGTAATATCTTTTTGGAGATTATTGAGCAT